TTCTTCTTTATTTTATAATACATAACAATAAACGTCCAAGTAAATTATCTAACGACTGCCGGAACGTAGATCTATTATCTAAATACTAAACATGGATAACATATTTCGTTAATTTGTTTTTTTGCTAAGTCGTAATAATTATTAATAAGTTCGTTTGATCGCACGGCGTACATACACTACACGCACAATACATACTGATATGATATATTTAATACGAATAAGGATTAAGGGTGACGATCGATTCGTATTGGAACGATAGTCAGCTAATTATAAACCAGTTACCTACTGTGAATATTTTTATATAATATAGTCGTACGTACTATGCATTATATGTACAAAAATAAAACTTTTTCTATCCAAAAGATAAAATTATGTAATAATTGTTTATTTTTCTTCGGAACTATGAAATAGAGGGCGGCCGAGTAAAAAATAGGTTTATTCTGATTAGACATTCGATTATTTTCAACACAACATTCAAGGCGGATAGACTTCATATTTGGTTATTAGTATACTACTTAAATTACTGGTAAATAAACACTATATTTTATAAACACATTTTATTAGAACAGTTTATTAACATAACTGCCATTAATTATTGTTTAGTTGAGTTCATCAGTCTTTATGATTTATTTTTTTAGTACTTATGTTAAATGAGTATTTAAAAATTCGTTTCTCGTTGATAAGTTTAATGGGGCGGCAAAAAAAAATTGCCTAGGGGCGGCAATTGTGTAAATCCGTCTCTGAGTTGGTTGTAACCTAAAATCGTCGGCCGTCACTCATAAGTATCATAAATTAAAATAAATAATGATAATTGATAAATGGTAATGATATATCAATGTATCTCACATATTATAATATTATTTTTCATAGACTCATACAGTGGTGGCTCGTGGTGTTCAAAGTAGGTGGTGTGCAATTTTTACAAAAGTTTATTTAAAAAAAATTAGTCTGTTTTATTAGTTAGGCGTATAGTATATTTTATTTATTGTCAAAACAGACAACATGTCCATAACTAATAATATTAAAATAGAAAAACGGCGGAGTTTACAAATTAAAGCCAGTGCAGAGAGGCATGTGCTGCGTTGATATCTTTCTCCGTGTGTTTGTTTATCGTGTGCGAGTGCGATCGCCTGACGAGTGTCACCAAAAAGTCACATATAATTGCCGATTCCCCACTCCGCAACCAATTACCAAACGTATTTTACACGGACAGACGGTGTTCAGACTGAGCTGCACACCAGTTGATGCGTATTTGTTGCATAACTCGATTACGTTTTAGGAGTATAATAATAATTGTCGTTTGTTTGTTTTTAAAATTTAATTTTTTTATATATAATAAATACAGTTTAACAGATATTGTATTAAAATTAATTTATTTTTATACATTTTTACTATTATATCTAATTAATCTATGTGGTGTGCGCACACCTGCACACCTAGGCACGAGCCGCCCCACTGGACCCATAGTTATAAAGTATGCATGTTATTGAGACGTGTACCGGACAGTGCTAAATATAGTACGTATCATACAATACATATTACACAATAATATGGTTTCTTATCGAATAAACATTGAAAAAACGGCCAACGTCCGAAAGCATTTTACGCGCAGATTACGTCGATTACGAGCGTTTGGCTTTCTCCCACTGCACCGGACGCGATAAATGTTTCGTATTTTCATCGCCATTATACAAAATCTCGTTTTGTTTTTCGGTCGTGAGTCTGGACTCTGGACGGTCCTCAACATTCTCGATCGGTGGCATAATCGCGCATGTAATAATAATAATAATAATAATAAATAATAATAATAATTGTTGCAATCTAACGAATTACGATCTTACACGAGCACGGGGCGCTTGTTGTGACTACAACTAAATACTAATAACTATCGCCTGGTGCTGTTATATACTTATTATATATAGTTGAAACTGGATGGTTGTGCTTCAGAGGGGATCGCTCAATCGCAGATTCGTGGCAGGTCTAGTCGGAGGATCATCTTCGCACCGGAAGCTACTCAGTCGTCTAATCGTAACCTAACCTAACCCACAAAGAGTGCGTTGAATGCCGCATTGCGTACCACAGCCCCCTTAAGTAAGTTTTCCCGACGATTACCTGTGATTATTGTGTTGAAATCAGCTATTACCTAATATGTTAATTAGCAATTGGGTAGGTAGGTACAAAGTTTATCTGTTTATGTCTTGTTGTTACGGGTTTGTGGAGGTCCTAGTGCAGACGCACTCGCCAGAGACGACCGCAAGTCGCAACCACAATCGTTATATTTTTCTCGTGATTTTTCGTCTTGTCAAATATGAATTTAGTTTTCGTAGAGTATTTTGTTTGGTGGGGGGGGGGGGAGAAATAATATATTTTTTATTTTTACACCATAATTTTAATATAATTTTACAATAATAAATTTATACATGTTAACTTATTATAATTTAGGTACCGTCTTAGCGGTCATTGAAATTTTATAGAATTGTTAAATTGTTGAAAATATATTAAATACAAACTATAGGTAGATACTAAGGAACGAATGCAGTTTAGCTCCCAAGCGATTTTTTGGAATTTTTTTTTTCAAAATGTGTGTTTTTGCATGTCTAATTTGATGGTACTTTCAAAAAAAGCCGGTCGAACTTATTTTGGAAGTTATGGTAAAAAAACTTCAAAATGCTCAATTTTTTCAAATATCGTGTTTTTGAATTTAAAATACCAAATATTTAAGTTTTTAGAATTATTTTTTTTTAGAAATGTTTGTATTTATATGTTCAACATTTTGGTGGAATCAGAATTTGCCTATCGTATTTACTTTTTATGTTATTGTTAATAAGCCACATAAAACTGAATTATAAAGTTATTTCAAACATTTGCATATTTGAGAAACTCAAAATTGATTTTTTTTTACTATTTTTTTTCATTCGATGAGTAATAAGATAAATAAGTTTTTGGTGAAATCAGAACTAACTTATATTTTTTTGTTTGGGAGAAATTATTGGTTTACACGTGGAGCTCCGCTAGTGTTTTCGGCTCAGAGCCCGCGTCGCCGAGCCAAAATTACGTACGGTCAACAAAGGCGACCCGAGGTACTTTTCCTATGTCAAATACCAGTTTAAAATGGCATTGAATGTGTTAAAAATAATAATCAATAACAAATCAAAATGTACAGATTTAGATAATGTATATTATATTATATCAGTATCGTCGTCATCAGAAACGTCGACCCCATCGTCGTATATATTTATTTGGATCGTATAAATTACCGGCTAAACGGAAAAATTCAATATAGGGACTAGATTAATTACACGGCATTTTTTTAAAAACATAAATTTGGCCATGTAGCCGCCATAGAAAATGTTTGTTATTTGACATTTGACAATTTTTTTACTCAAATCCAAAGTTTATAGTTTATTAGTCATAAAAAAAAAAATACTAATTATTGTCAATTTAATAGATTGAAGAGAGGTGAGTATCTAATATCTATAAAAAGTTTAAAAGATGTACTGTGTCAGTGTCTTATAATAAATTTAATTATCGTAATACAGTACTGTTATATTTGTATTTAAATTTTAAAGAGTTAAGACTAAAATGTGCCTCAAGAATAAATAATTAATTAAAATATAGATCAATTTCATACAAAACTACAAAAAATAAACAATCATTCATAAAAAGTTATTATATAGAGAAATAGTTGTTAGACATTTAATTTTAAAAAAAATGTTTTATATATTTCACTTAATATAAAACTAAAATAAAATAATAAAACAACAAAAAATCATATTATGTTACAGTCTTTTCAGTTTTCATCAATAGTTGTTTCAGACCTAGAACTATCTGAGTCAATGCTGCCACTTTTAGTATCATCGTTATCGATGACATGTATTTTATTATTATTCTCTTCAGGTGACTTTTTAAAATCGCTATTATTCTTAGATATTACTTTAATAGGTGTAATAGGCTCTTCAAAATCTAATGGTGAACTAGATGTTGAAAATGATTCAACAGAACTAGGTGTTGGTACTTGGTACTAGAACGGTGACTAGTCTATTGGGTAATTGAACTTTAAGAGTATGACTATTTGTTGAATCCCTCTGATTGTTATTGTATTTGTAATTGACACTATGCAATAAATTATTTTGTGTATGGATTGATCGTAATACTGGACAATTAGTCCATGGAACAGTAGATTCATTGAGAGATGGCTCTGAATATAGTTCACTAAAATCAAACCAACGGGATACTGTTAATTTAGATATAAATTATTAGTGTATTTATTACATTAGGTATAACATATATTAATTTAAATTTCACTACTAAATACTGGCGCCCTTCACTTTGAAAAATCGCAACTCGGTTCGTGGCCCTCAGTCCCTTAGATATTTTGACAGTATATCGTGCCCTACATATACGTTACACTGACGTAGATAAATCGAAGGGTGTATCTTTTGCTTTATTCACTTTACTGTGCTGGCATTCCCAATACTTATGATTTATGAAATACAACTCTAAAGAAAAACAAAAAAGTTTTTGTAAACTCTTGATGGAGCAGAGCAATAAATTAGGTACGTATTATACTTGTATAGTTGTATTATATTTAATTAATAATAAATAATAATAGTATTTTGAATTTCGTAAATTTTGTATTTTTATTCTGTTACTGTACCAACTTCTTAGTTCTTATCAGATACCCTCATGGATCATGTCGTTATCATTTTTAGGACAATTTATCAGCTTCTGACTTCCTCAAGAAATATGAAAATGGAAAAATTAGGTTTGCCAGCCTGATTTACCGACGGCTAATCGTGCCGTGTGCCGTGACGTTTTCCACGTCCGCAACTACAGCCGGCAACGTCATTGAGCCCATTGGCCGCCGTCTGGACGCGTTACGATGAGGTGCCGTGGTTGTTAGACGTGTCCGTTACTTTCATCACATCGTCTCTTAGTAGTTGCTCTCTCGAGGTTCGAATTTCGTTTGGTTTGCGATAAGTACGCTACCTAATTCGAAGATGGAGTTCAAATGGATGTTGCTGTGTTTGTCCCTGCTTGCCGTGTCCGCAGGTATTGTAGTTGTATTTAGTAGTTCCGATAACTGGTGTTCAGCTCGTTTTTAAAAATCCTGACCCAAATAATACGTGTGTTGTTACAGGTGTAGCGCGAGCTGAAGACGAAATCGACGCAGACGAAGAGATGATTGTTAGCGAGGACCAAGGATTAGTCGAGACAGAGGGCGATGAGTCTACGATCGAAGACTTAGAGCCGTCGGATGCTGATACGTACTTGCTGTTCACCAAACCTGTGTTCGAGGAAAAAGCCAGCATTGGTAAATTACAAGCCTTTGCGCTCCTCTTAAACAGTGTTTAAAGCTTAACAGTTTCATATAGTTATATAATGGGATCTAATGTTTCTAGATCTATAGAAGCGTGCTATTAGTTATCATTAGATGGTAGTATTCATTAAAACACAAATATTGACATATTGTTCATGGATGTATGTTTTACTTTCACACTACGGTGTAATAATTTAATCTATATCAACTATCAATTCTTACTGTTTTTTTTAAAACTAAAGAAATAGTTGAGTTTATGCACATGTTATGAGTTGTAATAATAATTACTAGTTATTGATTATTATTGATAACACTTAACTGTTATTAAATATTTTAAAAATATTTGTGTAAATATTGTACCAATTAATTGTTGATTAGACAAAAAATGCATTATAGGTCTTATTTTGTTAATAGTATGAAGAAGTATGATTGTGTGCAATTTTGTTCAGGTAGGTAAATAATCAAACAAAGTGAATGTAAAGAATTGGAAAATCAATTTGCATACAGAATAATATAATATATAGAATCATGAAAAATGAATCATATATATAATTGATAATACCTACAACAATAAATCTTATATTTTCTTATTATTTATTTGTACCTATTTCTCAACTATATCATTTATAATGTATTTTATTTTTTTATTAGAATTGCCAGCCGGTCGTTTGTCCGAATTTCTTGTGGGATTCACCAATAAGGGATCTAATGATTTAGTTTTGGAAACTTTGGATGCTTCACTTCGTTATCCTATGGATTTCAATTTCCACATTCAAAATTTCACTACCGTCTTGTTAGAGAAAACCATTCCACCAGGATCCCAGGCTACTCTTGGCTATGCTTTTATCCCAGCTGACGCATTTGCCGGACGTCCATTTGGACTCAGCATCAATCTTGCTTACAGAGACTATGTAAGGTTTTATTTTTATAATTTTTTAAGTTTTATTTCATAATCTTTATTTGTTTAGGAAGGAAAACAAATGATTAGTAAATTATACAACGATACCGTAAACATCATTGAAGTTGAAGAAGGTTTGGATGGTGAAACTCTGTTTTTGTATGTCTTAATGGCTGCTGCGTGTGTTCTTCTTTTGGTCGGTGGACAACAGTTTCTATACTCTGTGGGCAAGAAACGTGTTGGCGGTGGTCTGCCAAGTCGCACAAGAGCAAATTTGGAAACTGGAACAAAAACTAGCAAACAAATTGATATGGACTGGGTTCCTAAGAATGTTCTCAATCACCTAAGTAAGTTTGGTTTTTTAAAATAACATTAAAAAGTGGTCAACGGATAAATGTTGAATTATGGTTAGAATAGCAAAAATGTCCTTGCTTTTTTTTATAGTAAGTAGTTCTTATAAGTCCATTTACACGTTCACTGCGTACTGGCGCCAATTGGCGTCATAAGTATCATTCAGCAACGCGTTTGACGCCATATGGCGTTTAATATACATTTAAAATAAATGGTTGAAAATTCCCTACGCATGGCTGAATGTTATTTTATTATTATTTAGCGTGGATTAAACGCATGTTTTTAAATATGTATACATACGTCGTTGTGAGCAGTTTATTTATATTTTTTTTTAAATTTCTTTTGTTTTTACTTTTATCATACGCACTGGGTGATAACTGCAAAAAGACATATGCAGTCTACGTGTTAAAAGGAATAATTTATAGATATTCTGTAGGTAAATTTTTGATTTTTGATATCCTTAGTAGCTTACATTAAAGACATTTGACATGCAAATTGCAAAACCATTATTTCAATATGATTATATGCAGTTTCATGATTTACTTTTAGAATATTGTGTTTTATTCCGATTAATTGCTTTTAAATTGTATAAACTACTACCCTATGATATACCCAACACAGAGTGTATCTGTTAAGCATTTTCATAATGAATAAATTAATATATTAAATGATATTACTTTAAATAATTTGATACCAATAAATTCTTTTTAAAGTTTGTTATTGAGTTATGAATCTTGTAGAAGTTTCTACTTCATTAATATTAATTTATTAAGTAAAATATAAATATTTAAAGGTTTTTTTTATACTTTATAGATAAACAAAAGGCACAAAGTCCAAAGCAAAAGCGTGTGAAGAAAACAGATTAATCGAGCAAATAAAGACTTAAACTCATTCATTTTTCACCAATGAATGTAATCAACTATCAAATTCCTTCTTTAGAAGAAAATTAAATTCTAAAAGTGGTTGTTGTAATTTCATCTGACAACATTGTGAGAAATAAGAGTGCATTTCTAACGTATTCTATTTTTGTTATATAAATAGATACTAATTTAATTGGTCTTCTATTGTGTTTATTAAATATATAATTTTGTTTTATATCATAAATTAAACAAAATTATATTTGTATGTTTAATGTTTAATTATGTTTTTGTATAGATCATTTTTTGAAATAACATTTTTATCATACAGATACATTAATAATTTTGTGTTTGTAGTTTATTAATTTTGTGAATACTATAATTCAATTTTATAAATTATTCATACTTGTATTATATACTTATTCTGAAAATAAATGTGTTTGGAAAAACACTTGTCTTATTATTTTGAAGATATTATTTTTAATTATCATCACTAGTGGTTCACAAATTGTTCTTAAGTGTAACTCACTGTCACACGTTTTTAAATATTAAACTCAAACCCAGACATAGTTCATTTTGCTATTGTTGGTGAAATCCTTGTTGTAAACTTTAGTATTAAATTATCAAAACTAATCAATTTGTGAAAGAGATTTATTCTAGAATTTGCATAGATGTTTTTTTTAGTGTAACTCGAAAACTAATAACTGTAGATACATTAAATTTTCACCAAATGTTAAAATAACCATATTCCATATTAATATATTATATGATACAGTATTTAAAATAAATTAATTTTCTTTAATTCTCTTATAAGTATTAAGTGCTATACTGCTATATCAGTATATTGCTTCATTCTCATCACAATGTAATTTTGGATAACTACTGTCATAATTGTAAACGTATGCTCATAACATGGAAATTCAAGCCTATTAAGTCAGCTTTCCACTACTCTTGTAACTCGTGAGCTGTGGCTCAAGTTAACTTGGTATCATAATGTATTATAGGCGTGCCTTGGGTTTTTTTAAAAAAAAATAACAAATTTCCTGATCTAAAATTGAGAAATACAGTTATAAGTTATAACTTTATGTAAGTACATATTATATTATATTTGTAAAGTGTCCATGGAGGGTTTGAAGCCGAGCTACGCGCCTAAGCGCTGTTAGGTTTTGTTAGGTTTATCGATATATAATATATTATACTATATAATATTATTTAGACTAATTTAGTGAGGTGTAATCTACCCGAACGCCGCTAACCGGCATTAGACCTACATAAGAACCAGTCAGTGGCGTAGCCAGAATTTTTTTTCGGAGGGGATGATCAACTTTTACCAAACTTTTTGAGTGACTATCATAGACCATAAAAATTTTTTTTTAATTTTCTTAACATTTCGGGGGGGGTTGCAGCCCGTCAGCCCCCCCCCTGGCTACGCCACTGGAACCAGTGCTTGGAAGGAACGAGTTCAAAGGAATCCGTTCCTATGATTTCGTTCCATTTTTAGGAACTTATCGGGAACGTAGTTCCTTTTTCATGATTACGTACGACTAATTTAATGATTTTGTCAATGCATATATAGTATATACAATAGTCTACTATTGTGAGTTACACCAAAAAGAAAATCGTTTTCTTTTTTTTTTATCAAAAATTGGTTATGCATTAAAATAATTACTTTTTTGTTTTTCTAGACGCTTTCTAAAACTACTTGATACTTAGCAACTAGATCACAAAAGATGCTGATCTCGAAAATCAAACTATTTTTAGGGTTCCGTAAGGTAAAACAGAGCCTATTACTAATAGGCTCCTGTCCGTTCGTCTGTCCGTCGTCACCAGGCTGTATGTCATGAACCATGAAAGTTAGAAAGTTTAAATTTTCACAGATTATTTTAATTTTAATAAAATCTTATAAATTGTATATTATTTGTATCTAGGTACCTACTATCTGTTTAAATAAATAGTCAATTAGGAATAATAAAATATATCACTAACTGGTAATTGGTATGTGAAAAGTATCTAAAGATTTTCAGCTACCTATTATATAATATCAAGTGTAGGTATTTTACCATCTAGTTACTTTTAGTTGCATACTAAAATATTGCCCTGGGCCCCAAAACACGTAGTGCCGTCACTGCTTAAGCACTAATTTATTATTGTAAGTTGAACACAACAACAATTAGTAGGTTACAAGTGGGTCACTGTAATAGATGATGTTAAAGTTTAAATTCTATGACATAATATCAATATTCATTGTATCTGAAAATGATTCTGAACTGAGATAGTTTGTCAGCCTAGGATATTTTATATTATTATTATTATGTACGAGGGACGTCCAGAAAGTAAGGTTACAAGGGCTGTGTAGGACGAAGGGAATTATGTTTTTTAGAGTTGTCACCACTATCATGTAGAGAATTTTCTAACGATCAAAACAAATCATCAAACACCTCAGTCCGTTACGAAATGTTGTCACAGCAACCAAATGCGTCAAACGGTTCGTCCTCCAATCGCTCCACCTACCGTAGGTGTGAGATATTTTGAATTTCTTGAACGGAATGAAAGTGAGGGTGAAACTTTTCTTGACTCAATTGTAACTGGTGACAAAACGTGGGTGTGTTACTATACTCCCGAGTCAAAAAGGCAATCTCTACAGTGGCGCCATACCCATTTACCATCAACCAAAAAATTCAAAGTCCAATTTTCAGAGAGAAAGATCATGGCCTCTGTTTTTTGGGACCGTAAAGGGTTATTATTGGTCGATTTTATGCCTAAAGGAACCACCATAAATGCACCTGCATACTGTGAGACACTCAAGAAGTTGAAAAAAAAAATCAAAGACAAGAGAAGAGGAATGCTGACTCGTGGTGTGTCACTCCTTCATGACAACGCTAGACCTCATACCACCCGTCTCACTCAGGACCTGCTTGTTTCATTTGGGTGGGATATTGTGACTCACCCACCCTACTCCCCGGACCTGGCATCTTTTCAATAAATTGAAGGAGTTTTTGGTTGGACAACGATTTTCAAAATAAATGACCAGGAGGTCCAGGATGCTGTCGAAAATTGGCTTCGGGAGGTGGAGAGGAAGGTATACGACGAGGGTATACAAAAACTGGTCCCTAGGCTTCAAAAATGTATTGATCTTAATGGCGATTATGTAGAGAAATAATGACATGTTTTGACACTTATCTTGTAAATTTCATTTAAATATATCCATTTTTCAATTTTTAACACATGTTGTAACCTTACTTTCTGGACGTCCCTCGTAATACAGTAGGCGCCAGGCGGTAAGTTGGATTATTTGTAATTAATATACTTTAGAAGTTCAAAGTACCCACGAATAATATTTTTAAATTATAACAGAAAACTATAAAAAAAACTTTTATACATTATTTAATTTTTTTGGTTACAGTATAAAATACTTATGTGGAACCTTGTTCTAAACTTTTAGCTATATACATTTTGGGTGGGTAGATAAAAAGCCTAGAAATATAAATATAAGTATGAACACAAATACACAATATTATGTAGACCTGTAGACGTCATGGAATATTGTGTTATAAGTTTTAATTAATCATTTACTAGTTTACTACACACACAAGTACACAACCACTGAACCACACTCGTGCAGTCTTGCCGTCAGTATGATAATATCGACCTGAGATATAAAGGGCCTAAGAGGCATATTTATCAAGTAGAGCCTCTCTAAAATGTTTGTTTACATTTTTACAATATTTTTTTTTCCAGCTTTTGTGTAGTAAGAAAAAGTTAAATAGTTCAATGCAAACAATAATTACAAATTTTGAAACCTAACGACCTATGCTACCGTTTCATATAATGAAAAAAAATTATTATTTTATTATGTATATTTAAGTATGAAGAACATAGACGTAGCGTGATGAATTTGTGTAGGGAGGATATAGCCTATTATATTTCAGGTGCACAACATAAATTCTAAAAATGTAACTAAAAAAAATTACGGAATGGGGAGCTAAATAAAATTCCAGGAGGCTATAACCCCCTTACCCCTCCCATCCCCATTCTACGCTTATGATAATGAATAATAGTATGTACAATTATATTAATTATAGTTCTAATTATTATAACCATGCTCGTAAGCCCCCTTATATAGTATGATACAACTCCTTTTACATAACAATAAATACTGTGGTATCAGTGTTTTGAGTGGGAGTAAGTAATGAATTTTAAATACTGGAATTCTCTATAAAATTATTTTTATCTTAAACAATATCGAATTAAATTTTAATATGTACTGTTGTTGTGTAATATACTAATATTTACAATTGTATAACTAATTATTTTTATTATTAAAACATTTTAAAACTGTAATGAATGTTTAGAGGCTTTTATCAATATTAGTAATACTTACATAATTAGGTACAGAAATTATTGATAATACCTACTATACCTACTTGCACATTAGTCATATTTTCATATATGATATAACTATATAAGTTTATTCAATATATTATAATAGTATACCAATATGTATATTTAATAATAACATATATGTTCCTAATCAGTAGAATGTTTATCTATTGTACTTGAGCGGACGGTACTTAAAATAAATCAAATTTGTTTTTTGTGTCAATAAAATCATAATTATTCATAACATACACATTCATGAAATTAATAACCTTAGGTATTTAGGCTTTTTCTTATTAAAATAAAATTTTAACCAAGTTCAATTATTATGCATTGATGCTATATGTACAATGTAGTAGTACAGTACATAGGTGCATCATACATTAGGCGTGTTTTGGCGGAGTAAACTGTTTAGTAAATAAGTTTATGGTTATGGAATACGGTTAGAAAACGTTTACTGGAACGCCAAAACAATTGCTTGAACATTTTGTTTACTGAAATATTTGATAACATTTGATATCATAAACTTTTTAGTAACCAAACCTCAGTAAATCTTCTTACCAAGTCGAAATCGACGGTTACAAAATTCACTAAACTCGTTCACGAAATTAGTTACCTGGTTACAGTGACCG